TGGCACTCAGTGCCTACACCTTCTCAGGAGAGCTTGTTAGGAAAGCAGTCATTGAGCAAATACTTACACCAACACAGGCTGAATAGGAAATGGCTCCCAAGCCAAGCAAGAGCTGCTTTTGCTGAAGTGAGTATTCCTAAGGACAGAAAAACCACACTGCATAAATACATTGTAAAACATTTGCAAATCAAGTTCAAAATGGCATCTGCACAATGAAGAGGATTACAAAAATAAAAATCAACACTCACTTGAGCCTTTGGGGTGCCATTTCCATTTACCAGAGTGAATGCTGTGGTGTATGTGTGAAACACAAACTGCAGAAACAAGAGATTGTAAGAAAAAATCAATTCAGGATTGAGACTAGAAGAGCTGTAAAAGTAGAAAGAAAGAGTCAATTACCTGCCAAAAAAAAGAATGCCTTGCGTGGCGCTGAACAGATGAAATTATGACCTAAAAGGAAAATGCAGAAGAAAATGAGGTTTGAAGAGTGTGGAGGATTTTGCTGCAGGAGCACCAGGAGAACTGCTGAGGTACCACTGGCAGCAGTGCCCAAGGCCATCAGCCCTGGTTCCTGGCTACCACATTCTCTTCTTACAGTAGTGCCATGATCATTTTTCTGTTCAACAGAAAGCACACAGACATGTATAAAACACAGACACAGAGTGGTAAAACATTGTGTGCAAGAATATTGCAGCAAGGTACTTTCTTACCCAAAAGAAAAATGCATTTGTGCCTGTGAAGCTTAAATAGATGCAAATAAAATAACTAAGGTAACAAAAGTCTAATTAAAGAAATTATTGAGAAAGGATCAATGCTGGAGATGTGAACACTAACTTAGATCTAACTGACCTAAGATCAAAGGTTTTAGGAGTTAATTCCCAGCTTCTTCTCAAATTCAGACAGTGAATACACAATTCAGCTTTAATAAACCACAACCTTTCTTGAGCTTTCATGCTTTCATGCTCAAGGGGTGGAACACTTTCAAAAAACAATCAAGATAAGAATACAAAATACTGAATAAGAGGAAGGCTGAGAACCTCCAAAGCCTCAGAGAAAGATCAGTAATTAATTTAATATTAATGGATCATCCATCTTTATTATTAATGCCAGCACTGACTCTAACTACATCTATGAGAGCACATTAAGATGTAAATATCAAAAATAAGTATTTCTATTAATTTTATTACTGTTATTAATGAATTTAACAGCCTTCAAGACTTTCACTGTACTTTCTAGCAGTGCCATGTAAGTTCATGCTGTATGGAATGACATATCTCAGGATGTACACTCATGGGCCAAGCCCAAACCCAAATAATCTAAATTAATAAATAAGCACATGATTACAGCTACAAATTTGATAAAACAAAATGGTGCCATTTTTGAGCACAGTAACAAAAGTTTATTTTTATATCTTTAGTGATTTACTGACAACACCATTTCCTACTTGCAAATGCGCATCAACATAAGAAAAAAATCATATTCTGGGTCTGAGCCACAGAACACAAGGCTCCAACCCCTTCCCAGTGCAGTTCCAGATTTTTGAACAGCCCAAACCTTGCCTTGCTCTCATTGCCGAGTGATCTCACCTTGCATCAGAAAGCTGTCCTTCACACATGAACAGTCTCTTGGAATGCTGCTGGAGAAGGGTAACCAACAGCTTTGGACTTCCAGGGAGATTCTTTAAGAGCTCAATTTCCAGGTTACTTCCCATAAAACAGATGTCTTTCAAACAGCTTGTGCTGAAGCTACAACAAAGCCCCAAAACTGCCATTCCCTCCCTCCAACCCCTGGCTCTGGAACATGGAAGCCTTGCTGGATGCACACTGGCATCTGTCACAATTACTCACCAAGGGAAGAGTTACGGGCATGAAAGCTAAAAGGAAAGAAAACTTTATTTCAGTAAAAACAGTATCTGTGAGTGTAGATGGATGGTCTTGAGCAGAAGATTGCCCTCATTTCCCCTGTCTATTTCCATCTCCAAGTAAAACACTGCCCACTAACACCAGCATCACCATTAACTCCAGCCCTAAGCTTTATCTCTCACTCCAGGCTCAAGAAGCCAAATTCACTGCTCAGATTTCACAGCCAAAAGGAGCCCTCATGAACTCCCCTCCCCAGGGCTGCTTGGAAACCAAATAACTGAAGAAAGTTCAGCCTTTTGTTCAAAAAGAGAGGTGGAACAAAAGCTGCTACAGTGTGAGTGGTCACAGGAGATAATGAGTGCAGAGCCTCAGTGTGGTTATCTGTGATTAACAACCTGTGCTCCTAAACAAACCCCAAGCACACCTGATCTGTCACCAGAATGTAAATTCATCCAGCAGCCACAGCCATCAAGAGAAAAATTTAAATTACAGCAGACAGTTAAATGTAGAGGGATTTGGGAACTCATTCTGCAGCAACAACAAGCAGAGACTGATCAGAGTGTTTCCATCTAGATAAACAGATTATCCCAGGGAGAAATTCCTCAGCAGGACCATAGGAATAAATCAAACAATGTTCAACACATTTAACAATACAACTAAGAGAAGAGTCTGCTTGCTTTTCTATGTGAGTGTCACTGTGGTACCACAGCAGCTGTTCACCATGAGCTATTCCTCCCTGATGCTTCAGTCACACATAAGATTTCACTTAAGGGAACCCACCTGGAGGTCTAAACAAAACAGGAATTATCTTGTCTGTATCAGGATGTACACTGGACTTAAAAAGGAAAAAAAAGCAAATTAGAACATCTTTGCCATACTTGAATAACAGGAAAAAAAAATCTAAATATTTTGTAAACTTACCAGGCTTAGCAAGAAGTCTTTTTTAATCTACAACAGTTGGAAAATTAGGTTAATAATTAAATTTCAGAAGAGGTCGGGTAAAATCTTCTTTCTAAACTTATTCTATGTCTTTTTCTAATCACTTCCTTTTATACATCCCTTTAATTATATTCTTCCCCTAAAATTTCTCTCCCTGTTGAATATAAAGCATTCACATCCCATAAGTTGTGTAACAGCACCAAAGCACACACTAGGGCAGAACAGAAGGTTTATTTAAAAAAGTTAAAACTAGTAAGAATTTTAAACCATAAACCAACAATTTGATATGGATAAACACTTATGTTAAGACTTTAACTGCAGTGCAAAATACCTGATTATTCTGTATGGGCTCACTTAGGGTCTTCTCATTGATTAGTATTGATAACCTGGTTCTGTGTATTTCATTCTGTATTTGAGAGAAAAAAATAAAACAAAACAAACAAAACCATCTCAGTTTCAATATTTTCAGTGCAATTTATCAGCTATAAAACAAACCTAGGAGCTAATGATGTATCTGTGACTTACAATGAAAGCAAGAACGCTCCTAGACACAATGAATTCACAATCACAGAAACTTTTAAACTATTGGGATAATTCAACTGCTGGCACAGTGTGAGCAGGGCTGCTGAGATGGCTGTGCCTAGAATGTCTCTTGGTTTATGTAATCACAGGTGCACACACGTGTGTTTGTTTACTGCAGGACTGTGGAATGCTTTGGGTTGGAAGGGACTTTAAATCCCACCCAGAGCCACCCCTGCCATGGCAGGGACACCTCCCACTGTCCCAGGCTGCTCCAAACCCAGCGTCCAGCCTGGCCTTGGGCACTGCAGGGATCCAAGGGCAGCCACAGCTGCTCTGGGCACCTGTGCCAGGGCCTGCCACCCTCACAGGCAGGAATTCCTTTCAGCTACTCAACCTAAACCTCCTCTGTCAGCTTAAAGCCATTCCCTTGTCCCAGCACTCCGTGCCCCTGTCCAAAGCCCCTCCCCAGCTCTTCGCCGCCCCTTTAGGCAGCGGAACGTGACATCCACCGCTACGTTCCTCACGAACTCCCTTCTCCTCAGCAGCCCTGCGGTGACCCCATTCCCCCCCCGGCTCAGGCACAACCCCTCAGGCCGCCCGCTCATCTCGACCTTCCCGCGCTACTCACGGAGGACTTGAGCAGCAGCAGCGGATCCAAGGCGTCCGTCCAGAGGAGAAACCTCTGGAAGAAAGACTGAGGGAGACACGTTGGAGGCGTTATTGTGGACCCTCCCTAACACGACCCGTGCCCCCTCCCGGCCGCGGTGCCCACCTGCCCCTCCGCCCTCCAGAAGCGCAGGTTGGC